AGAAGGGAGCTTTTAGTAATTCACCATTGGCGATAAGGTACTATTTTTGGTTGTACCTACCCCCTGCTCAACACAGACATTTCCATCATCCATTTTATAAAGAAAGCAGTTGTGGCTTTTTGATGACCTGTATTATATGTGGTCATGTTGGAACTCAGATAAGCAAAAGGAAAGGAATATAGTTTTTGCATGTGTGGTTTGGTGTGGGCAGATAGAAAGGAAAATCAAATATGATTAGAACTTACTCCATACGAAGTATTAAACTTTGTCATTTATTTAGATATGTAGTCTTAATATAACATGTGTATTAAATATTTCAACAAAATGAGTCTGAACATATAAAACCAGTTTATCGCGTTTAAACCAATTTTTTAATTCCCAAACATTTTCATTCCAACCAAAACTTCTACCCGTTTTCTTTTACCCGACATTTTCCTAAAGTTCCAAACAAACCCTAAAAGAAGTTGGTTTTTGTGGTGCAGATCACCTCTATGGTAACATTTAGTACTGCTTGTGAATCTGCAAGTATCACAGTCCTCATTGGAAATGACATTGATAAATGTGTTGTGAATCACTGCAAAAGGTTCATGTCAGAAACAGCCATGGCATTTTTAGTTGGTATTCTGCACCACCATCCTACTTCTTCAACTTTTGGTCATTGACTTCCCGGTAGAGTCGATGATTGGGTCTTTTTGGTTTATGTGATAAATGTTTGTACTGTATTGTGGGCAATGAACCTTTTAAGGCTTCATGGTTTTCAATTTTGGATCCTCCTAAATTCGTTTGAAAAAATCTATCTCTTTCACTTGTAAGTTAATATTGGATCTAGCTGGTAGCATTGCTGCATTGGTGAACTAACAACTGATCAAATGACATGAAACTGTTCTGATTTTTAAAAACTGATATGCTGGGACAGGTGCAGAAGGTGTGGGGGCAGATCAGGATACGACGGGGGAAATTCAGCGGGCCGGGCAAACTGAAAACCAGTTTCGTCCTTGGAGTGAAGACAGAAAACAGGGACTATAGTACAAATGACAGATATAGGAAGGAAACGTTTGCATTGATTTGTTTATCAGTGAAAAGTTCAAACTTCAAAGCATATTGGGCAAGTATTTATAGATATACATTACAACAACACATTTTTACTACCATACCCAAATCACCCTTATCGCTATGCACTCTTATACTCCGTAATATTTTAGATTAGATATGGTTTTAGTGAGACTTTGACTATACACACTCCACCCCTCAAATGTAATGATTTCTGCTATAAAAAAATCCCCATACAGCTCAAAGAATCATGAAGAATCAGATCGCAAAAATTGAAAGTGAATTGTAGTATAGGAAATAGTGTTGTCATATATTTTGTATGCTATTGCAACCATCTAAAGTACTGTTCAAGATTTGGAATTTCTACCATCTAATGTTTGATAATTCATAAAGTAGTGTTTTTTTCATAATCCATCTTTCTTTTTCTTGTTAAATGATTGTGTTCCCGAACCTTATATTCAATAGGAATAATTAAAAAAAACTCATTTAGTTATATACACGAACACTTAGCATGCTTCGTAGAGCTTTTCTTTTCTCTACGAAATTAAGATCACATTGGCACACACTCAAATTTCACAACAACCTTCAGTCAAGATTGGACAATTTTCTTATAAACGGCCTATGCTATAAACGTCAATAGGCTTGGGCATTATCACGAACGCGCAACGCGCGTTACTGAACTAGTAAAGCTTAATATGAAAGAAAGAAGTAAGCAATGAACATTAAATGAGAAAACCGGCCTTTATTAAGATAGGTTAAGATAACACCCACCAACTTCAATTACTTTGCATTTAATAACACACAAATGTTTATGGACGTATTTAGAACACCCAACCATTTCTGGACGTATTTAGAACACCCAACCTAGAATTTTCAATTAAATAACGGTTACCAACTTCAATTACTTTGCATATATACCGTTCACCTTCCAAATTTCAAATAAATAACGATGACCAAGTCCAATTGAATTATATTGTGTTATGTATCAAAGTTAGATGTCGGATTCTATGGGTAATAAGGGTGGTCACATATTAACCGTAAAATAATTCAAATATAGGATATGACTTGACCACGATTTACCGGTTACATCACCTCATACGGCAAGTTTCACTAGAATTTCAATAGGACGTTAAAAACATATTTTTGCGATCCACCACTTACATCGTCTTATATTGGTTATCAATTTATAGAATAAATTGATTTTAGCTATTAAGTGGGTTACTAATGTTTTGTGAAATTAATTTTACCATACATGGTTGTATATTGCCTTCTTGATGAAACTACCTCATGCACCCATCAATATTTTTTTAAAACACCCAATCTTTAGTCTTCTCGACATCGATAGATGTGATAACCATCATTTTCATTCACCAGCTTCAAATAAATAAAACGTTAGATAAATATCCATTCTTAAATGATGAAAGTACAAAAAATAACATTACATCAAGTATTTTTTCAACTATTATTATATCATAATATTATTATAGGATGTTAACATATACTTTAATATGTCATCTTATAGAGATGTAATGTTGAATATAATAATTAAAGGTTGTGTATATAAAATATGTGTTTTCATTTCTATTTTCTAAATTTAATGAAACATTTTCCTTTCATTTTATTTTTGAGTGATATCAATAACGATATATGGGCTGAGGTTTATTTAAATGTTTTACATTGATATACTTTCTAATATCAGTTTATTCGTACTTGTTTTTCACCGGTCTAAAACAATGAAACTCATATATCTTTATGGAGCTATGTCCAATCTCCGGTCTTGCAAAGTGTTGGAGTAATTCGAACGGGTACACCATAGTCCATATATACACATGTATGCAAAACGAACAGAGTGAATGTTAAGTTGCATGCGAAACTTGTTGCGAGGTGAATCGTTAGTCATTAAGACTAACGTTCAAAAGATTTAATGTTTGAAAATTCCTTGAATGAATGGCTCAACTCCCACTAGCAAGTAAAACATTAGGATTAAATATTATTTAATAATATTAATTCCAAGTCCAGCACTATTGAGAGTTGTAACGTTCAAAATTTATTTATACATACTAGTATAATTTTAATATGAAGAGATAATGCATATATAAGATGTAGAAAAATTTATTATTAAATTAGTGTGTGAAAAATATTTAAAGAAGTAACATTTATTCATTTGAAATACTCTTATTTTTTCAAAAATCCCCCACATATTTCAAATGAATATTTCTAGATGTTAAAGACAGTTTAGAAAATTTCTGCTGGATTAAAGGAATAAGACTTTAAGTTTGGTGTCCGTAGACTTGAAACCAAACCGAGACGATTAAGTCTTAATAAACCGAGCTTGTGGGACTAACTTGATTGTAGGATTGTAGGATCAAAGGTCCAAATGTATTGGGACCGCCAAGCCAACTAGGTCAAGCCTAGTACGGAGAAGCATAGTTAATTATATACCATTCCCTCCATGTTTTGATTATTTAATTAATAATAACTAAACAAACCCCTATCAATGATTTTGCATGAGACTTTTAGATGGAGGGAATTTACTTCAACGATAGTAAACATGCAATATATCAAGTCATATTATGGTGGCCATACCTTAAAAGTAAATATAGTTAGCGCAATCCACAAACTGTTTTACTTGCCATTTATGTCACTAGTTTGATTCATGCTTGTAATTTTGAAATAATGCTCTTATAGTTTGGATTGAATCATGGCAGTCACAACGATATCATGCTAGGTAAGACTTGACGACACATCTGGGGTCAATTCTCTTTATGCTAGATTATAACACGCGGTCTCTTCTTTCACCGGTGAAACACTATGAATATAATCGTTCAGTTATCAAGTGTCATGATAAAAACAATTAAACCTCAACGATGTGTAGTTCGATTAGCTCCATTATATGGATAAATACACACATATATGTATATTTGATAACACTCCTTGTTTGGGACAAACATAATAATTTTTTAAAACTCTTTATGTTTGTACACATATCTCTGTGTGCATTGTATTAAAAATTAAAAAAAAAGAATCTCAAGAAAGGGTCTCAATAATACATCACTTATTCCTGAATGACATAACAAGAACATATAACTACAACAAAGTAATCTAAAGAACACTTGATATATCATGGAACACAAACATGGGACCTCATATCATTTCTTGCTATGTAAAATAAGTTATTTTTGCTAGTGTATATGACAAGACATGCACTTGAGGCTCTATGAAACCATGGAAAGAGCTCAAGTGATCTTTTGAGTGAGCTCTTTGATTCATTCTAATTAATAAAGAAGTGTATTTATTATTTTGAATTTAGATTAATGTAATAAACTTGCACGAGAACAACAACAGTGAGAAGTATGATTTTCCGAATACTTAATTGCATTTAAACTGGGGGTAACCGATATACCAAATCTTGTATCTTTCAATATAATTTTATCTATTTAGATGTGAACATGTTGAAGTACCAATATAATATTCCATAAAGATGCGATTTTCTTTTTGTTTGACTGTCCATGAAGATGTGATTTGTTCACCATTTTTACTCGCATTTCATTAGAGTACACGCCATCACAAAACTATAAGAGGACTCCAATATTGGAACTGATTCTGCTTTTGTTTCTTTTTTAAAGCAGAAACAGTATCAGTTTTCAGAACCTGATCATCCATAATTTCTAAAAAAACTGATTCTAGAAGTAAATTAGAGCACCAGAATCACTTCTGCACTTTCACCCAAACACTACAATTTTTGTTTCTGCTTAATCGCTTTTGCTCCCTGATGGAGCAGAAGCACTTTTAAGAATCAGATTCAGTTTCACCCAAACTTTCACCCAATCACTTCTGTTTTTTTTTTTTTTGTAATTTTAAATAAGAGCAAGCTATTATTTGGGTCATGGGCGAACAAAAACTTCCCAAAAAAATGACAAATGAGTCATTCCTCTTACAAAAAAGAAGAAGAAAACGAGTCAATCCCATTGGGTAAGACCGTAAGAAACCGGCATAAAAAACTGAACGATGAAGAAAATGAGTACCCTCTCGTCGTCATCAGCCGTTTCATCCGGCCATAGAAGCAACCTCCGCAGAAAATGAGTCAATCCAATGTTTATTTCGGTCATAAACAACACTCCGCATAATCCAATGGGTACGAAACCGGCCATAAAAGCTTTCGATTTTGAGCCGTAGCGCCCTCAAACCCCGCTGGTCTACCCTCTCGTCATCAGCCGTTTCAACCATGCTTCTCCTCCTCTGTGACGCCGAGGAGCCTTGGCAGCTTCTGCCATTAATCCGCTTCCCACCTGCAAAGGTAAGCGTTCTACACTATACTCTCCCGGTCAGACGTGCGTTACGTTTTCCCCCCGGCCTCCCCCTATATATATACTCTCTGTTTTCTCCTTTAGTGCGTGACTTCTCACAGTTTCCACCCAAGCTAGCTTCAATCTTCAGACGTGAGCTCTCTCCCCTGCACCACCTTCTTAATTTTAAGATAAAAGTATGGTACTCCATATATCTTGTTATTGAGTCCATAAACTCCATATGTTTACAGTTTGAGAAATTTTATTCTCTCAACCTTCCGTTATTTCCATTTTGTGTTGGTGAGTTTCATGATTCTTTCATACATATGTCATATGTGGATGTTAATGCATGGATGTGGACGTGCATTCCCTAGACTGGTTGACTCATGTAGAAGGGTTGCATGTTTTATTTTGTTTTTGAAATATTTGAGATCTGTTGTTAGTTGCTAGGGTTGTTGCTTCACTTGTTTGAAATTCCTTTTATGGGATATGTTTTTTGTATTGTGAAATATATTGCTCTTACACTATTACACCAAGATGTTCTATGATATTTATCTTTTGGGAAATAAAGAAAAATCTCAAAGTAATTATATTTTTGCTCATTTGGCTAGGTGTTGATTTTTTGAAAGTATACACTCGTATATTTAGTTTAGAAAGAAAAACATAATCATTTCAATTTCGTGTAATCGATCAATTTGGATTTCGGAGTCTATTTCTTAACTGCAAAAAATACGCCACTTATTTTTTTCTTCTGAAAATGTGCAGAGTGAGAATGTAGTTTTTTATGAGGGTATATAAATGAGGAAATCGATGCAATTTGTCGCATTTGGAAATTTTGTAGCTTAAACGCCTTGGGAGGTTATAAATGGTTGTTTTTTGAAAAAGGGTAGAGATGGAAGGCGGTTATTTATGAGAGATTGTAGAATTTAATTATTATCACTTAAAAATACATGATATCAGATTTCATGCTACAAAATGTTCAAATTAGCTGCTGTATTTCATTGGTCAGGCAATCAGTACCTAAGGAACAAAAGCTCATTCTGCTATGAGCTAGTGGAAGGGTGAACACTTGATAATGTTTTATTAATGACAGCTAGAGCTTCTTAGTATTAATTAATTAAATAATTTGTCACTCTATCTAGAAAGGTCATGATAGCAAATGTTGTTATTATTAGTGTCGGGAAAGTAATTATACTGAAATAAGTGGGTTTCCAATAGTATGATTTATTTGTTCTTGAGCTGTGTGGTCTTCAAACCGATACTCACCCTATGATGGCGCCACGTGCTTTGATTTGCAAGCTCGACTTTGTCAGTGACACTTGCTTTCTGTTGGTAGTAGCAATGCCATTGAATGGCAACTGTCACATGTCACCGTACTAAGTACCCAATCTTATCCCTTTTATAGTTTTCATCGATATTCTAATATTTTATTCTAGCGATCTTGATCTGCATTTATTTTGTTTCTTTTTTTATGGATCTTTCTGTTCCTTCTCTATTTCGTCTCGTGTATCTGCTGAGATAGTACTTGTATTGAAGATTTCTGGAAGAAATTAAAACCATTTGCCAAAAGATTGAGCATTTCTTTCTGTGAATATCATCTCGGTACCATTTCATTTGAGGCTATTTCAATTTGATGGCAGTGCGTGTCATTTTTTGGCTATGGCTCAGCTGATGTTAACAATAATGTATAAATTCAACTATGTTGTTGGGTCTAAAAGCTGGGCTCAGATGCAATTTGAGTGTTTTTCTGTAGTTAAAGTGTTTTGTATGTAAAAATTACTCCCATCCCATAATTTTCTTCTTTTTTGGGATGCTCATAAGTTTCTTCCTACTTGAGCAAAGATTTGTGGTTGCTATTGCTTCTCTCTTTTTGTGGCTTTCATAACCATACAATTTGACTTTCTAAATAAGTGTGTCAAGTTAAAAGGGAAGAAAACTTTGGGATGGAGGTAGCTGTAAATATGGCACCGTCTATTTCTACTTTATTTCTTACCTAATCTTTGCGTATAGGACAATGGATGATTCAAATTCCCAAATATGTGGTAATGTGGACTCTTTTATGAGGAGCTATAAGCTTGGCAGAACTCTTGGCATTGGGTCCTTTGGTAAAGTGAAACTAGCTGAGCATGCATTGACCGGGCATAAAGTTGCTGTCAAGATTCTTAACCTCCAAAATATGAGAAAAATGGGAATGGAAGATAAAGGTAATGATTGTAATGTGTTCATGCGGGTGGTGTGCTTGTGAATTTGAGTTTTAAGTTGCTGTTAATGTGTGCATGTGGGTTTTACTCCATTTATTTAAACAATCAAATTATGGCTCTATTCTAGATTTCGAGTGTAATAATTGTCTTATTCACTAAACCTCTTTATTCCCATCCAACTCTCTAAAGTTGGAGCTGTTTGCTTTTGAAATATGATTTTCCCCTAAGAAGCTCATCTCCCAAGGGCAATGTTTTACTTAACTGAACCATGCATTTCTTTTAATAATTTCCTGTTGCTTTGTAATCTGCTCATCTTCAAAATACTTCTACTTTTGCTTTAACTTTTTTAAGAAATTCTTGTTTATTAGACTTTGGAGCTGTTTTCAATGAATCTTAGTTAATATTGGTATGTTCTTCAATGTGCAGTCCGAAGGGAAATGAAAATACTGAGGTTGTTCATGCATCCTCATATCATACGGCTTTATGAAGTGATAGAGACGACATCGGATATCTATGTCGTGATGGAGTATGTGAAATCTGGTGAATTGTTTCACTACATTGGTCAGAAGGGCCGTTTGCAGGAAGATGAAGCCAGGAAATTTTTCCAACAGGTAATGGTGTGTTCATTTTCTTGATGATGTACCTTTTCTTACGTATTAATAGGGTCACAATTTTTTTTGAGAGGCAGATCATTTCTGGCGTGGAGTATTGCCACAGGAATATGGTAGTCCATAGAGACCTTAAGCCAGAAAATATTCTATTGGATTTCAATTGTAATGTTAAGATCGCCGATTTCGGATTGAGCAATGTCATGCGCGATGGTCATTTTTTGAAGACCAGCTGTGGTAGTCCCAATTATGCTGCTCCGGAGGTACTGAATCGTTGAGAATGACTTTTTTGGTTGATAATTTAGTCATCAATAGAAAACAAATTCAGCTAAAATCTAGGTTGGAATTATATAATGCAAATAATCTTTGATTATCCTTCTCTGCAGGTCATTTCGGGAAACTTTTATTCTGGCCCCGAGGTTGATGTGTGGAGCTGTGGTGTAATCTTATATGCTTTTCTCTGTGGGAACTTGCCATTTGATGATCAAAATATCCCAAACCTTTTTAGGATAATAAAGGTATTATATAATTTCATATAATTTTTTTAATAAATGATGAATAAAGGTGTATATATAAAGGTATTATATATACATACAGAGAGAGTGAGAGAGAACTGATCTAAGGCACACCTGACCAGATCAATTCTCTCTCTCTCTCTCTCTATATATATATATATATATATATAGGGGGAAGATCCCTTGCAAACCCCTCTTCCGGTGCAAACTACAAACTAATCAGCACTGTCCATTTGCATTAGATGGATGGCTATCCGTATGACGTCCACGATAATACTCTTGGGTTGAGAAGCTGCCAATTAAAATCCAAAAGCCCACTACCGTATTACATTTAGTTAGAGGGCTACTAATGTAATCTTAACTTCCCTTCTCCTAGACTTACGTGAACTAACTTCTCACTATTTGAAATAACCATCCAAATAAAGCCAACTTATTCAAGGTAAGTGGCAAACAGAGAGAATCCATGGATTAATGCTAGCCGTAAATTGAAAATAACATACCTTTCTATAATTGATAATTAATGGTAGAATTTACAAAATGAATTTCTTAATACACACAATCAGTTGATCCATACTAACCTTTTATTTTCAAATCCTAGCTTCCATTTTTGAATATGAATTATATCACACTGCATATTAAGATTATGGGATGTGCATCATATGATGCATCTTATCGTTACATCATTTGCATCGTATACTCAACTAACATGCATATGAGTGGTCAAGATACGCGTGAACCACATATAAAGGTTACGAGATGTGCATTTTATTATTACCATGTCTGCATATGATCATATGTGTGAAATAAACTCCTTTTATTTACAAATTTAATCATTTCATAATTATAATGTCTGCATATTAGTGATGCATATGTTGCACTTTTAGTCACATTATCTATGTTTCATATTGAGCTAATTAAATTATTACCTTGCACTGTGGAAGTTCATATGTTGCATTTTACCATTATGATTTTGTGCATTCATTCTATAATCATTTTCAAAGTTCAAATTTTGCATTTTATCATTATTATTACATGTTCATTTTTCAGAATTCATATATAATGCATTTTAGTAAGATAACACATACATCTTAGGAGACCATATGCTGCATCTTATCGTTATGACATGTGCATTCATTCTATAATCATTTCTGAAGTTCATATGTTGCATTTTATCATTATCACATGTGCATTTCAGAAGTTCACATATATTGCATTTCACTGAGATGACATGTGCACATTAGGAGACCATATGCTGCATCTTATCATTATGACATCTGCATTCTAAACTCAATTAACATGCATACGAGAATCATGAGGTTTAGATGACATGATGCAAAATATTTGAGAAGAATGTTCTAAATGATAAAAAATACTACTATATTTTACATACTAAAGCTATAAGAACTTCGCATAAACATGAAATTGTGTTGATTGATATGAAACATCTTTGCAAACTTAAACCACAAAAACTTTTGGATACTAAAACACAAGAATTTTAGATAAATACATAAGTGATGAATTGAGATATGAAAAAAAATCAAAAACAAAAAATTAAAAATTTCCGATGTGCCCTGCACACCAGATTCCATGGAGATGCCAAAATCCATGGAGTTTGAGAACTAATGATCTCCCTGTGTGCTGGAATCTATGGCGCTTGAATAGAAGAACACTAATCAAATTCTATTAAATTTGAGATGGAGATAGAGATGGAGAAGGAGATGGGGATGAAGAGAAGCTCTGATATCTAGAGTAATTGCATATTGATGAACGATGAACTTGGTAGGAGAGAGAGAAGGAATCGATTATCATTCGGGTAGGAAAAGGTAACGTGAGATTTTTCCCAAAAATAAAATAAACTAAGAAGACTAATAAGCCCTAACTGCCTGATCTAATCTAGATGAAGTACACGGCTCATTCATTAAAATAGATGGCTGGGATTAGGTTTGTAGGTTAGCATATTAAGATGAGTTTGCATTTGATCTCTCATCTATATATATAATATATATATATATATATATATATCAATATTGTGGGTCTCATTTGCTATAGGGTTGATACCTCTTTTCTTATTGTTGTGCATTCATTAACTGTAAGGCATATTACTTGAATGTCTAAAGCTAACCTATTGTATTTTAATGATGTTGATTTTGTTTGTTTGGTACTAGCATTTACTTTTTTAAATTAATTTTTGTAGAGTGGAATGTACACTCTTCCTAGCCATGTATCACCAGGTGCAAGGGATTTGATCTCAAGAATGCTTATTGTTGACCCGATGAAGCGAGTTACTATTCCTGAGATTCACACACACCCTTGGTATCAAGTTAATCTGCCTCACTATCTAACTGTTCCTCCACCAGATCCCATGGAACAGGCGAAAAGGGTAAATATAAACTATCATTCAATATTATCAGTTACAACTGTAAACTGTGGTCATTTGCATTTTAATATATAAATATATGATAGATGTACAATCACATAGCTGATATTAAAACTTGTTGGGATGGTGGGAGGGTAATAAAAAAGGACGCTAAATTTCGTAATTTGTGGATGAGGACCCTTGGAAAAGCAAAACTATCACAATGTTTGGGTAACTTTGTCCCTGCATACCTTCTTTTGTTTCTATTTGGCACAAAATTTTCATTTGTAGGGTGTGTGCAAGGTTTTTTGTCCACTTAGTCTTCTGGGAGGGGAAAGCTTTTCCTAAATAGGAAAACTTCTTATTCAAACATAGGAATATTTTTTTGTCAAGATCAAACATGGAAGGAATAAAAGTTCCTGTATACCAAATATTCCATAAGACTTTGTATCCCTATCCGTTGCAATTGTTCCTTTTCCATGACACATGGTTTGTGTCTCTCTTTGTCCCTAATAATCTTTCGTCAGTATTTACGTTTCTCTTGTACTCCTTGTAATTTGCAACTTCTAATTTATTCTAGTGCTATGGGTTGAATATAGTAGGATTTGAGACCTGTTGGAAAGTTGATAAACTATTGAACTGCAGATTGACAGAGAAATACTACAAGAAGTGATTAACATGGGATTTGAAAGAAACAATCTCATTGAGTCTCTTCTCAACAGAGTTCCAAATGAGGTGACAATGTGACATTCATTTATTGATATATAGCTTATTTGTTCTGTACCCACAAATTTGACAATATGTTTTTGCCTGCCAATCTCAGGGAACTGTTGCTTATTACCTGCTACTTGATAACCGATTTCGTGCTTCCAGTGGATATCTGGGTGCTGAATTTCAGGAATCGATGGTGTGCTGGCTGTGCTATACATAATTCTATATATGATGAATCTTCTATGTTTGTTTCTTTGTGTTTTAGAGGGAGAGAAGGGTGTGTGCATTGCTATTGCATGTTCCATCTGTGATCTGTTCCCGAGAAAGATTCATAATTGAAAAGTTTTTTTTTGTCACCAACAAATTAGTTTTACTTGAAAACTTATTTTGTCCTAAAGAGTCCTTTTTGAACAAATGGAGCTGATTTTCGTGATAGGTAATGTAAACTAAATTTTAAAGTCCTTGGTGCAACAAGACTCTTTTTGGAAAGATGTATTAATATGTATAAGAAGAATCTGATAGGGACATGGACAGCCTATAATAATAAGAATAATAGAATTTATAATAAATAATGTAATAGTGTACAAATAAGGGTGTTGGGCCATTTATGTTATGATTTTGGGACAGCCCTTGAGAATAGCATTATTATAAGAGTGTGAAGTGGGGGAAAGAAGGGGGTTAGGCAGAAATTTGGGAACAGATCTGGGATTCTTGGGAGAGATAGGCACTCTCGAACTTGCCTCTATATTTCTACTAATACGTTCTTCTGTTGCTTTGTAATTCCCTAAGAATATCTGAGGATTTCTCAGAATTCCTTGAGTGAATATACTACTGTTAGGATCGATACCTATCAGAATCTTATGTGTTTGGGGGCTTTAGAGATCGTTGTCGTAGACTCCATCACAATACAATAGTTCTGTATTCAGCCCGGGCTTCTCTATTCTGAAGCCCAATTCAATGGCTGTAGCATACATTTGTTCATAATCTTGTTGCCATTTTTGCTTTCTTGCAAATTCCAATATTGATAGTTTTGTGTGTGCTTTTCTGCAGGATTATGGTTCGAACCATACAAACTCAAGTGATTTTCTTGGATTACCTTCTTGGCAACACTTTGCTAGTTATCAACCAGTTGATGAAAGACATCAATTTCTAGTCGAAAGGAAATGGGCTTATGGGCTGCAGGTTAGTACCCCGATGTATTCTTTTTATTTAAATGCCGGGGTATGCCTGGCTCACAGAAAATGATAGGGAAATGTAAAAAATGCTAAGGAAAACTATTTTCTTATAGTTCTACCTTGGAAAATAACATTTTTTTTTAAATAGCATATTTAGATTTTAGTCTCTATAGATTAAATAAATAATCAACAAATATATAAAGTAAGTTCATTGAGTGCCAGCCTATCTTTTATTTCACCCATCCTATTATTTCCTTTTTATCTTCCTTTATATTTTTCCTTTGTAGTTCTTGCCATAATATTTCCCAAGATCTAAATGGAACCTTTAGGTTTTCTCATCATATGTATGTAAAGCAACAGTTTGATTTGGCTGCTCCGCGTCCTGCCTTTCCAGCTATATGACCAAGAAAGTTTTTATTTAGTTTTACATGTCGTAATATACTCGGTGTATGAGTTTATTTTAATAGATGTTATTGAGAAAACATAATGATTTCTTTTTGACAATTTTAATAGTCCCAAGCTCGTCCGGGTCAAATAATCCCGGAAGTCCTTCAAGTCCTACATGTGCTGAACGTGTGTTGGAAGAAAATAGGGCGTTACAATATAAAATGCTTGTGGACTCCCAACCTTCCCGGTCACTATCACGGAGTGAATGATGTCAAGTTTGAAGTTCAGGTAAAAAGCCTCTGGTTATATATCATGCATGTGTCGTTATCCTGAAGCTCCTTTATTTTCATTGCTAGCTGCTTGTAATTGGTATTCCTCCCTTCAATGAAGTGTCTCGTTTCACAAATTCTCTTGCCCCTACACAGTCCTATTTCATCAAACAAAGTTAAGCCTTCATATTAGTTTTCCAAACAGAGGCGGCAAACAAGTTAAGAGATATAGCTAAACAAAAAAATATGAATTCTAATAGATATGTAAAATTCCATAGCTTTTTTCAGGAGTTGCATCTTGACCAAACAAGAATCTTATTTTGGGAAGTTTTTTTATAATTCTTATCTCAGTGGTGAGAAGGGGGAGTCTTGGCTTACCAATTATGGTGTTACGTGACATTGTGACTTAGAGGTTATGGGTTCAAAATGACAAAAGAGAATCTCTGTTAACCCTTCTTCAAACCCTTACTTTACGGCATTTATTTGCATTAGAATGCTCATTTTCTCCAATGGTGAAGTACTAGTTAGTATCTTGAGTCGTTGGGCCAAAAAAATAATTATACTAGGCTTAAAGCCTTAAACATTAGTGGGTGGGCTAAATATGAAAAATGAAAAAATTTATACTAAAAAATTAAGAGAGAAAAGTGCCTTGAAGCCCACCATAACTTAGATTCTCCCTGGTTAGATGTGTGATGCAAGAGCCTGCGTGGTAATGTAAATAACTAAATATGACTCAAATTAGTTAATATATTGAAAATGAACATCTAAAATGTGTTTTTAGTAGGCAAGTGAAATAGAATCAATTACTGTATATAGTAGCCGCATCACTTCGTTTCATTTAGTCTACATAAAAATATGATATTAATATAGTGTCGATAATATTTTTGTCCTTAACAGCTGTACAAAACTAAGGGCAAATTCCTCTTGGATCTGCAAAATGTGCAGGGACCAGATCCCATCTTTTTGGATCTTTGTGCTGCTTTCGTCTCGCAGCTTAAGTTCTCTAAAGCAGCAGGAGCTTGTTTCGTTCAAAGTGCTACCCCTTAATGAATGTGTAGTATAGATGCCGGTAATAGTGTGCATGGAACATTATGACAATATTGCTTGCATGAATGTGCAGTGTACATGCTGGTAATATTGTGCATTGGACATTATGGCAATATTGCTTGCATGAATGTGTAGTGTACATTATGGTAACATTGTACATTGTACATTGTACATTATGGCATTGTATCTCCCTGGAATATGTGGTTTACACAGGGGTGGGCCCATAAAGTTTATATGGGGGGGGGGGGGGGGGTGGGTGGGTGGGTGGACGGGCTGGGGTCGTGGACCAGTAGTGTATTCAGAAAATTTGAGAAAATTACCTAAATAGAAGTTAAACAATACAAAATTCAGTGAACTTTTTATCCTTTTATTCTTTTATAATTAGGATTTATAGGGAAGCACTCTTAATCCTATTTTAGAATTTTCCTATGCTTAACTCATATTTTGAGCAACATCATCATCCTACATAATTTTATGTTATATATGTAGGGGTGTGGTTGGGGGGGGGGGGGGTTCTGGTTGCAATTTTCCGCACTGACTCCACATGGATATGCCCCTCATCATATAAAATATACAAAATGGATCATTAAAATATTGCACTAGTAAACAAAAAAACTCTAGAAGTAGGGACAACCGGACAAATATACTATTAGAAATGAGTAAAGGTAAAGCTAATACCTTAAAATTGTGTCCCAAATTCCGCCAAAACAAATAAATTCCTAAATTATTGCTTTTGAATCAAAGTTTATGAGATACATACTCCTCACCCTTTAGCTAAACTTGGATTCAACTTCTTCATTTAGTTCAAAGAGTGGCCACTTACATAAGATACATACTCCTACATTTCTTAAAAGTATTAATGTTACGGTTTGTCAAGTCATGAGCTAAAGTTAATAGTGAAGGTGCTTTTGATGCTTACAAGTAATATAGATATTTCATATGAATTGTAAAATGGTACCCGACTTTTGATGACTAAATTTGGAGATCATATTATATGGGATCAAATGATTCAAATGAGGCATGGCGAAAATGACGGTGAAATGTTTCTTATTCCTACTTACTTTAACATCATTAGACATTAGGTCCCTTTTCACTTCTAACACAATAGTAATTAGCTATGCAATGATTATAATATATAAGAGTTGGGGCCAATTGTTAGAAAAAGTTGACATCTTCCTCTCTCACCCTTTTCTTTAGATTCACCCTTATTAGACATGTGATGTAGAGCCTACATATTAATGTAAATATGACTCAAATTAGTTAATATATTGAAAATGAACATTTAAAATGTGTTTTTACTAGGTGTTTCTGCGGGAATATGGTTCGAACCATGCGAACTCAAATGATTTAGTAGGATTACCTTCTGGGTAACACTTTGATGGGACTATTGGTTATCAACCAATTGATGAAAGACAACAGTTTCTAGTCGAAAAGAAATGGGCTTATGGGCTGCAGGTTATTATCTCGATGTATTCTTATAATTTAAATGTCGGGGTATGCTTGGCTACAAAAAATAATAGGGAAATGTAAAAAATGCTAAGGAAAACTATTTTCTTATGGTTCTACGTTGGAAACTAACATTTTTATTTTTAAAAAGCATATTTAAATTTTATTCTATAGCTTAAATAAATAATCTAACAAATATCTAAAGTAAGTTCATTGATTGGTAGCCTATCTTTCATTTCACCCAACATTTCATTTACTTTTCATATGCCTCTATATTTTCCTTTGTAGTTCTTGCCACAATATTTCCTGAGATCTAAATGGAACCTTTAGGTTTTCTCATTATATGTATGTAAAACAACAGTTTAAATTGGCTACATGCCTACACTGCATCCTACCTTTGCAGCTATACAACAAAGAAAGCTCTTATTTAGTTTTACATGTCATAATATACTTGGTGTATGAGTTTATTTTAATAGATGTTATTGAGAAAACGTAATGATTTCTTGTTGACAATTTTAATAGTCCCAAGCTCATTCGGTTCAAATAATGACCGAAGTCTTTCAAGTCCTACATGTGCTCAACGCATGTTGGGAAAAAAAATAAGGCATTACAATATGAAATACGAGTGGACTCCCAACCATCCTGGTTATTATCATGAAAGGGTGTTCAACAAATAATGGTTATTATACAAGTGGCCATTTGTAGAAGATGAAGCCACGAACTTCTTCCAACAGGTAATTGTGTGTTAATTTTCTTCCAATAGAAATTATGGTGTTGTTGTGTGACCTAGAGATCACGGGTTTAAGTAGTATGGCCTCTTGTCAAAATGAATAAAGAGAATCTATACTCTTTATACATACTTATGGTGAAACCCTTTCGGACCCTCACTGTATGGGGACACTTATTTGCACTGGACTTGTACTAGACTTGCACTAGATTGCTCTTTTTTTTTCTGACTGTGAAGTACTAATTAGAGTCGTGATTCGTGCGTATTCTGGTTATTTTATAAAAGGTTAGACACAAGATTAGGAATCTAGATTGGATTGGACTGGGTGGATGAATACTTATACTAGGCTCAAAAATTAGCTGGGTGACTAAATTTGAAAATTGAAAAAAAATACACTAAACAAATCAAGAGAGAAAAGTCAGCCCACCATAACTTAGATCCTCCCTCCATAGACATGTGATGAAAGAGTTTACAAGGTAATGTAAATATGACTCATATTAGTTAATATATTTAAAATGAACATTTAAAATGTGTTTTTAGTAGGTGCTTCTAAGGGAATATGGTTCGAACCATACAAACTCAAATGATTTTGTTGGACTACCTTCTGGGCAACACTTTGCTGGGACTTTTGGTTATCAACCATTTGATGAAAGACATTAATTCCTAGTTGAAAGGAAATGGGCTTAGGGGCTGCAGGTTAGTACCCCGATGTATTCTTTTTATTTAAATGTCGGGGTATGCGTTGCTCTCAGAAAAAGACAGGGAAATGTGAACAAAGCTAAGGAAAACTATTTTCTTTATGTTCTACCTCGTAAAATAATTTTTTTAGTTTTTAAAAAGCATATTTAATTTTTTTCTCTATAGATTAAATAAAGAATCAACAAATATCTAAAGTAAGTTCATTGAGTGGTAGCCTATCTTTCATTTCGCCCAACATTTTATTTCCTTCTCATCTGCCTCTATATTTTCCTTTGTAGTTCTTGCCATAATATTTCCTAATATCTAAATGGAACCTTTAGGTTTTGTCATCACATGTATGTAAACCAACAGTTTGATTTGGCTACACTGTATCCTACCTTTACAACTATACTACCAAGAAAGCTCTTGTTTAGTTTTACCAAGGTTCTAAAAGGCGCTAGGCGCTTAGCTAGTCGGGCGCCAGCCCAGCGCCTAGTGCCTAGGCGGGGACTAATCGAAAGCACATAAATTGTATTTTTATTAATATTTTTGCATAAATATGATAAGTAATACATAATAAAATGGTAGTATCATGTTTGTGTATGTATGAAAAATATATACACACATTAACATGCATGCATGATTGAATTGTCACATGAAATAATATATGATAACTAATCACTTAACTACATTATGTTATAAATATTAAATAATAATAAAATTTAAGTATATATATACAAACATATATAGTTTTTATCTTACTTTACAAGTATCTTTATTCATATTCGTGATTAAAGTTAAAAGTACATATATCTCTTACAAATAGAAAATTAAAAATCAAGAATTGTTTGATGAATCTAGACGCCCTAGGCGGAGATTAGGCGCTTTGGGCAGGCAACTAGGCGTCATAGGTGGCCGACTAATTCACTTAGGCGTCAAACCAATTAGTCGGAGCGCCTAGACAAAAATCGGGGCGCCCGACCACCGCCTAGCGCCTAGGCGGGGACTAGTCGGGCGCCTAGAGCGACTTTTAGAACAGTGAGTTTTACATGTCGTAATATACTCGGTGTATGAGTTTATTTTAATAGATGTTATTGAGAAAACCTAATGATTTCTTGTTGACAGTTTTTATAGTCCCAAGCTCATCCAGGTCAAATTATGATGGAATGATTTCCTGTTGACAGTTTTTATAGTCCCAAGCTCATCCGGGTCAAATTATGATGGAAGCCCTTCAAGTCCTATATGTGCTGAATGTGTGTTGAAAAAAATAGGGCATTATAATATGAAATACAACTTGGCTCCTAACCATCCTGATTATTATCATGAAGGGGTGTTCAACATAGTTAAGCCTTCATATTAGATTTGTAAACACATGCCGTTAACAAGTTGAAATATATAGCTAATAAAAAATGGATTTTAATAGATGTTGTTGTGTGACTTAGAGGTCACGGGTTCACGTATTACGACCTCTTGTCAAAATGACAAGAGAATTTCGGCTCTTTATACATACTTCTGGTGAAACCCTTTCGGACCCTCACTGTATGGGGACACTTATTTGCACTGGAGTTGCACTAGACTTGCACTAGTGCTCTTTTTTCGGCGGTGAAGTATGATGGTCCCAGATAGAGGTAAAAGTCTAGAGGGGGGGGGGGTGAATAGACTTTTAAAGCTTTTTCTACTTTTAAAGAATTTCCCTCATAGATGTGATGATCAGTAATCTTTTGGGAGATTAAGGATCGCAGCGGAAGTCTAGACCTCCATGAATATAACAACCTTCTGTTAGTGAGTAGATAAGGGGAAGTGTGAGTAAGGTAAGATGAGCTTTTCTTATTTTGGGAGACAGAGGAGCTAGGTGGCAGAGATGCTTTGGACAGAAGGTCTCATTCAGAATACTTTGATATGATATTCTTGATGGAGTATATGGCCCAGGAACCCCCGGCCCATAGACTCCTACTTCTCCTACACAAGTTCATTAAGCCCGGGGAACAACTCAGGCCCAAAATACAGTGGCCCAAGCCTCAACATAGCCCAGAATGCGCACTGGGGTGCCTTCGGCCTCCCTGGCCGAAGGCTCCAAAACTCACAGAATAGCCTTCTCTGGCATAAGAAGCTACTGGGGGAAAACGGGCAAGAACATTAGCCTTCGGTGCTATTGAGCCCTCGGCACCAGGAGAAGCCCTCGGCTGAACCAAGCCTTCGGCTACACATTGAGCCTTCGGCCATACAAGGAGCCCTCGGCTACACGAGGAGCCTTCGGCTGGACTAGCTCAATCATCGAAGATTCCTTTTGGAGACAGCCAACCACCGCATTTAATGCCACGTCACATCCGCCAACCGCATTCAATGCGGCGAACGTACCACTGCCGGTGCCAAC